TAACTGATTTATAATTTGTTAACTACTAACTACTAATTTAACGATATGATGTTAATTTAACTTTACTTGAGGTTTATTGTTTTCATTAATTTCCTCATCTTAATTGATTATCGATTACATGCACAAAAAATATAAGAAGTATTATTAGTATTTGTAAATTATAATTTAGCACTAGTAATGTTCACAGGCAAAAAAAAAAATACTGTTTAGTAAATATAAACTTATAAAAAATTAGCATGATAAGATAAACTTTTATTTATTTTTATTATTAATTATTAATTAATAATAAGCACTGTACCTCTTTATGAATACAAGTTAAATATTGAAAAAAAATAATACATGTATTTAGTTAAAATTTAATTAAATTTAATAAAATTTACTTAAAATAAATACCTTATCACAATACAATTCTAAATTTTATTTATTATAATATTTGCTATGATTTATATAAATATATGAAGCGTGTTTTAAACGTTATAGTGTCTCATATTTGTTTACATTATCAGATTTTTTATTTTTTATTTTTAACACGTTCTTGTTTTATATGCGTAGTAAAATTAAAACAATACAATTATTTTGCTTCAATATGTCTATGTGACGTAAAATAATAATAATTGCTCTAATTTATTTGAAGCAGAAGATCTTGATTTATTTTTCCGGTACCTACAGTAATACAATATTAATTGTGAATCATGTGAGCGTACTATTAACCATTCAAAATAAAACTAATCAAAATGATAAATCAATAAAATATTATAATTATTTTTTATGTTTCCTCTCAGTACGTTTTAATAATTACTGTGCCCGATCTCCACGTACCGACAGTGCTAGATAACTATATTTTAGCAATTTTGGTTCATATTGTTTAAGAAAATATAAAAAAAAAAATATAGGTATCGAACAATTTTGAGAGATATACACATATTGACATACACAAAAAAAAAAAAACACTCATCATTGTAAAATCTGTACATCCTTCACTCTACTTACAATTTATAATCTAACCTAATCTAACAAAAAATAAGAGTGTAAATACTTCACAGTTATTCATAAGTGCATAGCCAACGTACTTATCTTTATTGCGTAAAATGTTTAATAATTTATCTTGATTGCAATATTGAATTCATATAATCAGTAATTACACGAATCAATGTCACCTAATCTTATCGTTTTAGAAATGCTAAATATTCAAGTGTATATTCAGTTAGGTATATTTCGTATTTATTAGGACAAAAACATTTCAAAATTAAGTACCTAGGTACAACAAATAAAAATATTAAATATTCTCCGTAACGTATATGGATTAAATTGCAGTCGCTCTGCACTCTAGCGGTTTATATTTACACCGTGTTAAGAGGTGAATCAAATGTAGGTGCTGAAATGTAGATTGAGCTGCTCTATTATATTTTAGTTGAATTTTATTTTTATAAAACATTTATTATTATTTATTACATTACTAGTCGTAGAATCTAAAATGTGTGTATCAGATTTGTCTGTTAACATAGCAGTGAAATCATTTTGCTTTTTATAAAAAAAATAAAAGGCTGAAATTTTACCTAAAATATTAAATAATAATTGTAGTAATCATCAATACGTATCTATAGTTAGTTTATAAAGCAATTATTATTAACTTATTATAAACTTTAAATAATTGTCGACATTTTAACATTTTTGAAAGTATTATGATTTTTTTTAAATAAAAATAATTTTTGGTAATTTTAATGATTTTTAGTGTAATAAGTCCTATAAACTCTATTTACGACCATTTAATATTAAACGCATGGTTCGTATTGTATTTTATAGATATGAAGTAATAATATTTTATGCGCGTCATCACGGTGATCCATTTAATCCGCCGATGGTTTTATCGTAATTTTGAGAAACGACAAAAATACAAAAATCATATACCCGAAAACATCGCCCTTGTCTTGCGCGTTCTACGCGCTTTCTTTAAATCATTATATTCCTGACGATATTTTGCGCAGTTTTTCGATGACTGCAACGTATAGCAGCTTTCTTGCAACCCTCACGTAATATGTCTCTTTACCTATGCGATTTCTCATGTTTCAGAGCGGAAGAAATGATTTTGCCGCGAAAAAATATTATGACAAACATTTAATAATACTCGACCGATGCAATTCCCATTATTTATATATTATATTATGTTACAATTTAATTATACGATATAAACGTTTGTGGTTTGATGACTGTGAGAGCGCTTATGTTTTAAAAGATATTAAAAAATGTTTAAATAACATTTGCACAGTTTTGAAAAATCACAAAGAAACTTTATAAGAATTTTAATTTAATATGTATTAAAATTATCGAAATGCGAACGATTAGTTATGTAATTATAATGAGGTCTTAATATAGTATTTAAAGTTTAGTCTAAACGGATTTGTGGACCGACAAGTTAGTAGTAAGCACCCATTTATACGTGTAAGCTATTGACTGGTAAAAATATCTGAATCAATAATGTTCAATTGAAAATATTGTTGTAAAAATTTAAAATTTTTTGAAAATAAATTATATGTATATATTATAATTTTTTACTTTTTTGAATGACAGCATAAGTTTTTGACTTAATACTTCAAACTAGAAAATTAATTGGATATTTTGATAGTTATAAGAAGATAACATTTTAAATGAGTAATGATTAATTAGTTATAACCTTTTAAGTATCTTAAATTTATTATAATTAGTGGAGTATAGAGTATATACATCTATTACATTGTTATCTTGCAAAATGTTGGTCCTCTATCAATCTTGTTAAGAATACTTAACAGACATTTTTTAATCCAATACATTTTATATTGAAATATTTCTACGTTCATTATAAATAAATGGTTAAACTTGCTTTTATAAACATTGTAATTTCATATTTAATACTTAGTTTCATATATTTTAATAGATTCTATAATTTCAAATTTGAGACCAACCTGGTCGATTATTTAGTTATCTGTTCGTTCCATAAAACCTTATTATACATTGTTATAGCTATTATTAAATATTATTAATTTAGTGACAAAATGTAAAACAATAAAATACGAAAAAATTGGTTAGTGTGATGCAAATGTAAAACTAAAAAATGTATTTAGTATTTTAGAACATAAATATAAAGAGTAGGTATTTTTTAAATGTTAAAAATAAATTTGTCGAAAAGTATTTGAAATACTTATAAAAGGATATTTTAACTAACTATATGAACGGTTGTTCATAACTCTGCTTATCAACTAATCTTAAAATACTTTGTACCTATAATTAACCACTTTTTCGAAATTCAATTTTTATGTGCGTATTTAGCACAACAAACTATATTTTGCTTTGGATTATGAAATAACCAAAAACGTATATTTGCGTTCAAATAAGTAAAAACTTAAAAATTAAAATAATAAAATATATGTATGTATATTAATATATATATATTACTTAAAAAAATAAAATTTTACATTAAAATCAATTGTGAAAAATAATATTTTTAAAATATTTGAAATAACAAGTGAAGATATTTAAATTAATCACCTTGATATGCACGAAACGTTACACGCTGTGTAATACATATATTCGGACACGTCATATATAGTTATTTGGCCATTATCGCGTGATCACGTAATGAAGTATTATAATACAATATGCGTTATTGGTATACATTCGTTATTGATATTATGCTTCGCATTAAGTCCGTTTAATCCGTAACAGTATTATTATTTTAATCTCGAATCAGAGTGATTCGATAACTATGCTCACCCTAGTTTTCTTTTTCAATAATGTAGTAATTTAAAATCTAATTTCTGTAATTTTTATATATATTTAATTACCATATTTTCAAGTGCTTAACATTTTTTTGTTCTATCTACTTAAAGAAATAAAAGATTCTGTTTCAAAAAAAAATTACATTTTTTCTACTAAAAATAATTTAATAGATATTTTATTTTTAGTTATTATGACGTATTAAAATTAAAATTCAAACGAGCAATTTTTTAATTATTTAACTTTGTGTACTTAGGATAACAGGTCCACGATAATAGATTTGGAAGATATGGCGACTATGGTAACTATAGTAATTTTAAAGTATTAGTTATTCATTTAACTATATCAGTATTTATTATTTATAAAAAAGATTTGAGTATAATGAATACTAAATCCGACATTATATATTATATAGTTTAAATTTGTGCAAAGTAATTTTTAACGACCATTATTTTCAATGTAACGATTTCAATAGCAATTAATTATTTGTGTGAACTTTTAATTAAATTCTTCAAAATTTTCAAAAAATTATCCATTATATAATTTATGATTAAAAAAAAAGACGTTATCATTAATTGATAAATAGAAGTTTATATCCCAATGTACGATCCCAATGTCAAACCATATTTTAACGCTTACGGTAATTCCGTACAAGACATGTACTATTCGATAAGCGAGTCGATAACAATAGCTAAAGAATTACTAATGTATCAATTCGGAGGTGACGTAGATAACGTCATTGAATTTTTAAATACTTTATTTTGCGTATTAGACAAAAAAATTCCAAAATTAAATTCCATGTGTATTAAATCACCGCCAAGTGCGGGAAAAAATTTTTTTTTCGATGCCGTCGCATGTTATTTTCTATCTTACGGAATGTTCGGTACGGCAAATAAAAATAATAATTTTTCATGGGCAGATGGGGCGGGTAAAAGATTGGTTTTGTGGAACGAACCGAATTACGAACAATATCATTTGGAAAAAATCAAAGAGCTTTTGGGCGGTGACACAACACGAATACACGTAAAGTACCATAACGACGTCAGTATACAAGGCGTACCCATAATTATACTTACCAATAACCATTTAAATATTATTAATCACCCGGCATTTGCGGATCGATTGCGTTGCTATCAATGGCAATCGGCACCGTTTCTCAAGGATTATAATAAAAAATTGAATCCTTTGTTTTTTTACGAATTACTTATAAACTATGGAATTGTTAAAAAAGAAATAAATAACACATTGACTAATGATTAAAAAAATTGTGTTTATTTCATTATATCCATTATTTCCGGATGATTTACAAAATCTATAGGTGCATTAAGTATAGGTATGTTTTTATTTTGACGATACTCGATAAGATCGTGAATGAAGCGAAGGTATTTATCTCCGTGATCGAAACACGATTCGTCAGGCCACCATTCCAGATTCCTGTAGTGAACAGTTGCACAAGCAGCATGATTGGAATTGTGTATTCTTCGATATTCGTCAGCGGACACGGGTTGTTCATTTCTGTTGAGCACATAATTATATATAATTCGAGATCCACTGGGCTGGACGTCTTTTACGACTTCATGAGTACTTACTCTTCTTGTAACTCCTCCTCCGGAAGGCGAAGCTGTAACAGGTCCTGGGCTAGTGTCTGTTCCAGTAGCTGACTCTGATTGAAATTCTGCGACCACCAGTTGTTTAGATTTGTCGACTTTGTTATATTCGCCGACTGGTCCGGAGGAGTTGAGAGATACTGAACTAACACGGGTAGGTGTAACAAAGCGCCCGTCGACAGTAGACAAATCACTACGAAGATAGCAGTGTTCATTATATTGTTGATTGCTGACTAACCACGATTTTTCGTATTCGACGTGGAAACGATCGTACGCAACACGACTGGCCGGACAACCGAATGATACTGTCATTTCCGTTTCGAAATCCCACGTACATTCGATATCAGTGAAATTAACTGGTATTATGCTATTGGTGCTTGTCGTTAGTTTAGGCACTGGGTAAACACCGATATGAACACTCGGTTGTACACGTCTCGTATCAGTGTTCGAATCGTATTGTCTCACGTACTGACCCAATTCTATAGGCCGGTAATATCTGTCTTTACCAAATATACGTTTCCAATTGTTCGCACCTAATACGGTAAGTTTGCCACTACTAACGCGTTCCATTGTCACGTTGCTTGCCGATAAATTATCTCGAGATTCCAACATAGGTTCGCTCATTCTCAATACATGGAATTCCCCTGTATCTGGGTCTTGTCCACTGACTAGTCCGTCGAAAAATGGATCGTGTTGTTGAGTCAACAATCCGCATTCCGGTTTAAACGAATAATCGACTACTGTTTTACCTACAGTAAACGATGCGTCTACTTTAGTAATTTTTTCATTAAATTTTTCCCATCCCATGCGTCCAAGGTTATGATTGGTGTTGACAAAGTTACAAAAGTAATTATTGTACACTAGAGGTAAATTCATATAAGAAGCAGGTAAGTTAAATCCTTCCGATACAAGAAATCGTCCTTCGTCAACGGTTTGAGCGTACATTTTTTTAATAAAATCTAACATGTATTGTTCGTTGGGACGAGCATCAGTTACGTCCATTGGTTCCGTACTGTTTCCAAAAGTCAAAGTTCTATTGACTCCCCTTGTGGTAGTGTTTAGACCGTCCGCTTTAACCATAAATTTATTCTGATTTAAAGTTGCAAGTGAACTAGTAGACGAATTGGTTTCAAATGCTGTCCTCGGGTTACGCATGACTCCTTTCACCCTGACTCCTGTGCATAGAGCTCCTTTAGGTAATAAATTAAACTCGGATGGCGATAAATAAAACCATGGTTGATCAACTGGAACGTTCATTAAACTGGTTGTTCCCAAATAGGCGCCAGTACTTCCAGAAAGTTTAAGCACTTTCCAAGCAGCACCGTAACTAATGAAAGTATGTACTTTTCGAAATACCATTGTATATCCTCCCGTGTTACTGATCGGCCGAGGTATAACAGCGTTTTCAGGGCTAGGATTGCCAGTATCTGGATCACCATCGCCTTGATTACCCGTACCAGGTAACGAGGTAGTATTCAAAGTATCCCTACAGGTAATTTCTTAGATAATATAAAAAATCTCAAGAATTTTAAAATATTTTCTGCAAATAAAGTTATTTAAAAATTGCAATGAAGTTATTATTAAATGAAAAATTAGAAGTGAGAATGCTTAGTAAATCACCCTGCATTTTATTTTAATGTACGCAAATATTTATACATAATTATAATAGAGCGTTTGAATAACTTCAAATTTGTTCTCGTTTGACACTTGTCACGAACGATTGGCGTTTACGTGTAGTTTGTGTCATAATTTATATTATATTTTTGGATGTCAAATACAGTAAGTCCTCGTTTAACATCGAGGTTAGGTTCATAGAAAACACGACGTTAACTGAAAAAACGTTTATCGGAACACTTTTTACATTTACTTTATTATAATGGATTCCTGTCAATAAATAACAATGTACATAATATTTTAATATTTACTGGTATTATAATTGCACGATTTAAATGTTTGTGTTTAATTATATTAAATTAAATATTAATGAAAACTTATAATCAGATCTATCCATGTATGTCGTATTTAAAATGTATTCCTTAAAAAATAAAAAACGATTACGGAGTACACATTACCTAAAATAATTTAAAACAGTACCTACATATGGTAGATTATGTCAATCAGAATGATAACGGTATTATATGAAGAAGGTCGATGAAAATAAAAATATTTACTGTAACGTCTTATACAAAATATATATAAATAAATACATTTAACAAAAATTTGACGAATATATAATAATATGTATTACAGACGACGTTATACTGAAACCGTTGCAGTGTTAAACGAAACACAAGGACTTAAGCTTCTACGACGCAATAGCGAAACAACTACGCTAAATGAGGTGACGTTAAACGAGGACTTACTGTATATTCCCTTGACTGAGACGATTTTTCTACGAAACACATATTTTTTTCTTTAATATTATCTTTATTATATTCGCACTTATTGTACATTATATAATATATAATATTGTATAACGTAGAGTTTGTGATATAAAAATACAAGTTCAAAATACAAAAAAATATATTAGATAATATAATGTATTATTGAGGGGTAGATACTAGGTGTACATAGTCTTATAAGGTGATTTATTTTATAGAAATACGTATCATTAACAATGATTATCAATTTGCTTTTATTATTACTTAGAACTTCAATGATAGTTTTCATTAGTAGAAACATAACATTTAAATAATTAACACACGTATATATAGGATAAGTATGATTATACTATACATTTTGAATTGTTTACGTATCATCAAGGATCAACAAGATAAATACGAGTATGTATATACACATATATTTTAACTCGTTAGGTTAATTTAATATAAAACAAATGTAGGTTAAGTTTTTAAGTGTCTTGAGTTCCCTTCTTTATTTTAACTTTTAAGAGTTGCAAATTAACTTAGTTGAAAATTAAATAATTTTTGAATATTTAAACTCTTGTTAAAGTATAATAAGTACATTTAACAAAATTATATTGTATAGGAATATAAAAACAGAAATACACAGTAGAAATTATAATATTGTAGACGTCGCTATATAGATATTGGTGATATATTTGTTGAAAGAATCGCACGCTAGACATAATATTGTACTTAACAGCATTATCTACGTCGTACAATATAATAGTAAAACATCGATAGGGACTATTTTTGTGTTCAAGAACTCATCCGACCAAGACCAAATGCACCGGCATTGTTCTCGCCAAGATATATTATAATATGGTAATAATATACATATTATTATAAAGTCGACGCATAACATTGGCAGAATTAGTGGTGGAGAGCTTGGGGTCACTAAGCTGAGATCATAGCCTACATAATATTATAATATCTACTCTAAACCTATTACTGTGGATTATTATCTTTGTAATGTATACAAAGCTAAGCAACTTAAAGGTTGGAAATTGCTTGTTTTAATTTTAACTCATATACTGTATATATATCAACATTTTAATAAATCCACTCATCAGTAATTTGTTAAAGAAAAAAAGAGAAGTTTGTGTTTTAAAATATGGTCACTATCATTTCAATAAATTATCGAACATTCTAAAAATCAGAATTAATTTGAATAAATTAAATTTATTTGAGGATAAAACGCGGATTAGCAATGAGTGTGTTTGTTCCTGGAGACTGGAAATTATAATTTATTCAATTCATTTAATAATTTCAAATTTTTTATTAGAAGTTGTATTTTATTTGTTTAAACAATGAAGTTAAATAAAATAAACCAGAACTCGGGTTTCAGTGTCTTAAAATAAGATTTTATCAAGTTTCATAACGTTGTATTTTGGAGTATTTTATCGAATACGTCAGACAGATAATGAAAAATGTAATTATGTGTTTAATAATAGTTACAGGCGTTGGACCAATTTATTGTAAGGTATCACGAGTAAGTTTATTTACTAATTATTACTAATATATTTTTTAATTTTTAGTGACTGAATAATATTTTATACAATAGCATAAAGAAAAATGTATTTCAATAAATAACAGTATGCACTAATGCCCAAAATATGAAAATGATTACGAATGCTGGATATATGGTCTCTTGCTGGTGCTCGTTAAGGTGTTTTGTTGTAAGTTAAAAAGTATTAAGTCGAAAGCTAAGCTTGCGCGTTTAGAGCTATCATTGTAGGGCTCAGAAAAAATACTAATATGTATGCATTAATGCGCTTAAATAAAAGTAGAAATATCACGTTATTTATTTAATTTTTTTGTTCAAATACACATATTTTACAAAACTATAATCAGTTAAGCCTAAAGTCAATATTCTAAGGAAAATTAAATTAGTATGATTTGTCTTTATAGGTTCTCTTAAAATTACATAAATGGTAAAATAAATACAGCCACGTATTTGTAGTTTTTTAAAATATGATTTCTAAAATAACTTTAAAAATGTTAATTGAATAAAATTCTCATTTTCATAAAATGTATACATATATATTTGGATATATTATATAGTCAATACTGTAGTATTGATTGGAGGTTGACCAAAATATAAAGCGAATATTAAACTATAATTAGTGGTTTCATTTTATACCAACTGGGTACTCATTTGAAAAACACGTTAGGTATAATATAAAGTAAAAATAAAAACTGATTTCTTGGTTATTGAACAACAAATCTGTAATAACACACAAAAAACAGTTAAATGTAACAACTTCCTAACTATAGACTTATCAGTCATCTCTGGTTTAAATCGATACTGGGTCCGGTATATAATATTATAGACGGTGCAGGACATGAATTAATTAAAATGTTAAATATTTTAAAACGTGTTAACTTTATTATTAGGTCGATTCATTTTTTTAATAAAGAACTTATTGCGTGATTATAAAATAAACTAATATTATACCGATTATAATAACAATACTATAATTTATGTCGTTTCTTGATAAAACGCAGTATTAAATATTATTGTGTAGACAAACTATACTCTTTACGCGATCTATGGACTAATTAAAAAAAAAAGAAAAGTAGATTAACTTTTTTCTATCCGACAGTCATATTATTTTTCCGTTCGACTTTACTTTGTCTGTTAAACCATTGACTTCCATCGATTCGACGGTATCGAGCCCATACTTCACTTGACTCGACTCGAGTTAATTACCTCCGTTGAGTTGCTCGCCTTTAAACGTTCTATACTATTATATGAAAGGGGTACCAGCTAATACGACGTAGGTATATGTACCTACCTAAGCGTATTTTAATAGGACGCCAAACCGTACAAATCATCGTGTTTATAATACGTGCGTGGCGTAGGTACAAGTTTAAAAACGTATCTCAGAACAAAATATAAATCATGTAGGTACGCGAATGAAAAGGAAAGGTGATCATTTTTACGCTCGGCGAAGCAGCTGTTTGTATACGTG